TTTGTAATTTTCCTTTTTAAATCATTTACTATCATTGGGATCAACACTGACTTAAGCATCGGAGAGCCAATGGCAGAAATGCCATCGGCGACCCTAACTTGTCTTTGCTTTCAGGAGATACAACACGTAGAAAAGTGTATCACTCATTGAAGATCAAGAATTTCCTCATCAACAGGGACATGGAAAGCCTCAAGTGTGGAGAAGGAAGACCCCGTACAGACACCAAAAATTATGTAGAATCTAGAAGCCGAACGATAAAAGATGGCCTCGTAGATTCTATCAAGCCTTCTAGATGAAGAAGACCACACGATTGCTTTCAAGCCATAAGTACAAGTTTGGTCCTACCATCACCATATGCCAATCTGAACGAAGACTTAGCTGCCTATGAATTGGGATAGGCCTACCAGTAACATTACATGTCGAATCGAATAGATCGATCGAACTCTTTGTAAAAACGCATTTATGAATCTACCTTTTTGAAAGTAAGTTCAATTTCTATTTTGATACATAAACTCTTGTACTTCAAATAAAAGATTAGAAGTTTGATATTTCATCGAGTTTTAGCATAAACCCCAATGAACCTATACATTACATAATTTAGAAGGACATAGATGAAAATACTAATACATAAGTGTCAACCAGGAAGCACAATTGGAAAATGTGCAACCAAAAAGAATTGCAACCAAAAAGAGTTCAGGCTTGCCCATCGTCAGCATTCCCGACTCCCTTACCAGACAAAGTCCCGACTTCGAGTTGCTCTTCTATTATATTAGGCATACCGAGCACTTGGCACAATTCAGCATAATCAGCAATCGCTTTGTCCACATCCCAGTAACGTATTTACATTTCTTATAATCATTCATAAGAAATGCTCTAATGGCTATTTCAACTTCCAGCTGGCAATTCTCTAGACGGTCTTCTAAAGAAGTAATCTGAGCCCCAGAAGCTTTCTTTAAGTTTGCAAGCTCATCTTCCAACGCGAGCTTCTCACAAACCATATCGGCTAGCTCATCTATTGCCTTTCTTGCAGCCAAGTCAACATCTTTCTTCCTAACCCTCAAACTTTTGACTTCTCCACGTAATGAAGTATTTGCGTCCTGCAACGAGCGCACCTTTCTGGCCTGTCTAATAGCTTCATTTTCTGAAATTGGCACCTTGCAGACCCCGGAATCAAATAAATAAGTTCGCATCAAATGAGTTATCCATAATGGAGTATATAGAAAACGATATACTTGAAAAATCTGAGCCATCGTGTTCTCGGTTGCCTTTACTGGTCCAAGTTGCTCATAGCGCGTCCGGTCTTCGGGAAATAACAAACCTTCACGAAGTGCCACCACCCCCGGATTAGAGAACGCAGACGAATCAGAAGGAAAGGTAAGCACTATCAAATCATCGTCTGCCGACAAAGGCCCTGGATGACCGCGTTTGCAAACCAACGAGGATGGAGCATCAGGTAGCTCGATCTGGCTCAAGAAATCACTAGTTAGGACTGTAGGGTTGTCAGCTAGCGATATAAGATGAAAAAACCTCTTAGACTTTTCTTTCACCTTTCTCCTTTCCAGAGTGTCAAGCGAAGACCCTACCACTCTTGACATAATTCGATGTACAATCTCACGTTCAGTCGAAATTATTCTGAATTTTATTTAACCCAATTAAAATTAAACACAATTCAGTTAAAAAGATACATTCATATTAGACATAATTCAATTAAACTCAATTCAACAATTATACACATCAATTAATTAATTAAATCATATCTAAATATCCATCAGTCATCACAAGTGTGAATGTAAAACCCTCAAATTGGGTAAAGTGTTTAACAACTAATAAACCATATCCATCGATCATCCATTACAATTGATCAGGCAATTAAATCTAAATTTTAATTCAAACTAACACATTTCATTTCCTTCTAGTAATAATTTTCTCAAATTTTGCCTAAATTCAAGTTAGATTATCCCGATTCTTTATTTTTTGGTAATTGTTTTCTATGTTTTTATTGTAGTTATGTTGTTTTGTTCTAATAATTGTCGAGCTCCCTTAAAGTAATTCGTCAATATTTAGATGGAGTATAAACATTGGATGATTCACAAAAAATTACAGTAGTTAAGTATTATCATATTTGAATTTTTTTTATTCATTTTCTTTTATTAGTTAGTTTCTATCATTTAATTATAATCAATGAATCAATGTACTATATTTTTATATTTATGGAGAGAATGAATCGTGTATTACAATTGCCGATGGACGCCATTAGTATCGGTTAAGAGTTTGAAATATTTATATCATGTTGTTGCATTATAATGATTATAATTATATAACTTTGATTTATATTTTTTTAATGATACAATTTATGTTTTAATGTGATATTTTAGCCTAATATTTATGATTTAACTTATTTGATATATATTAATTTTTTCTTTGTTAAACCGTGGTTTTAAATCGAATCAAAATGAAAAAAATAGGTTGGATTGGTTTGGTTTAGAAATCAAAGTGGTTTGGTTTGATTTTGAAAAATTCCAAATCGCTTTAAATTGTTTGGTTTGAAAATTTGTCCCAAACCGTTCAAATCTAACCGCGTTCACCTCTAAAAAAATGTGTCTATTTTTCATTAAGAGAGATGCAACACGTACATAAGTGTGTACACCTTCTCTCCATGTGAGGGGGACACCCCAGTGTATACACGTATCATTTTTTTCACGAATTATGCATGGATCAAGCATATTATGAATGAATTCTAAATAACAAGGCAAATGTTAAACATGATGTACACTTTGAAGTGTACAAATAACATTTTCCATGAGATCCAAAAGAGTGGCCGAGTTACATATTATGTTAATTTCTTAATATGTAATTTATGAAGAGTTTGGAACATGTGAAATATCATCTAACTATAATAATTTTTCAAATAAATCTATTTATATTATATCATGTGATTTTCCTCCATTTCGGAGTTGGCCAAGATAGAGAAATGACAATTTTTTTGTCAAAACCCGTCAAACTCTATTTTTTAACAGTATTATCTCGACGACACAAATTTATATATAAAAAATAATACAAGTCAATTGTATTATTTGTTCATACCATTATAGCGAGGAGAAAGCCGTGCAACGAATACCGACAACGTGACTCTCCTTCGACATCCGAATTTTTCAATTTACCTCTCATTTCACGTTTAAATACATTCACTGTGTATTCAAATGAAAACTTTCACCATGGATACTTCTCGAACCTGTCCAGATCATCCACCAAGTCCAGCCACCATAAATCGATGTAGGTGTTTTCCTCCGTGGCCCACAGGGCGTACGTCAAGATTACGATCAATCCCAACTTGTACTTATCGCTCTTTCTTTTCTTGCAGCATACAAATGTATTATAAGCATCTCCCTTCGTAATCTTACCCACATTTTTCTTAAAATATTCTTTCACGATCCGACATTTCGCCCTTAAAGTTTTATCTACATTGTTATCATTACCCGCATTTAAGTCCGTCACTAAAACAAATTCTTCCAATTCAAATCTAGCTTGTTTATCTCCTATCTCAAGTCATACTTCTTTTTTGCTGGTTTTCATCTTTCGTAATAATAATTGATGTATAACCTGTGAAGCCAACCTTATATCCCTCAATCTAAGAAGAGATCCGAAGCAACTCTCGCGGAGCTTTTTTTTATTTTTTTTTGTAATTTGTATTTAGTTTTTCATAAACATCTTGTACTACCCGCAGTCTACATTTTGTTGTAATTGTAGCGTCAACTTCAATCTTCTCAAGCACTGCAAATTATAAAACATGTGCAAATATTAGAACAACTGATGACAGTAAAATAGATATGAACAAGATGCACAAGCTATATAAACAAAGTTAAGCATACAGATTTTCGATAAGATAAAATAAATTCTGTACAGATTGCGAGCACTGTAGTACTTCACAACAATACATTTGAACTCATTCCTTGATTCAAAACATATCCAGTTAATTCATATGCAACTAATGAACTTTCTATCAAAACATTTGTGCAGATTAAGGACATTAAATTTTGGAAAATATGCCATCAATAAAGAGGTAAATTAGAAGATAGAAATGAAAGAATCAAATAACATTGAAACTATCTTAGGCCCAAGTGATCATGGGAAGTTTGTAACCTTTGCTTATAGTTTTTCGTTAAATTAGCATAACACTTATTGTGTTCTAATCCTAAACGAAAAATTAGAAACAAACAGTGGTGCAAGAGCAACAACAGAATCAAGAACGAATGAACAACAAAAGCCAACCAGATGTGAATTGAAACAACTCAAGTATGTAAACATGAGGTTAAATGCTCATCCCAAAGTGCAAAAACTATATAACATTAATTACTACCCTCAATTTAAATAAATGATCGCTATACCAGAACAGAAACAACATGATATCGTTACAATTTTCAGATAGCAGAAAATGAATAAACTTACATTAAATTTCTTCCACTAAGCTGTAAACGAAAGGAAGAAAAGAAGCGAACACAATACAAATTCAAACGCGTGCGAGAGAGTACCTAAAGGTGGTCCAACGAGTCACTGAGAAAATGGAGACAGATATAGAGTTTGAGGTACAATTCTCGAAGATGAAAAATGGAGACAAATAGAGTTTGATTGATTGACTGAGACTCTAATTTGGGAAAGAATTGGGTCTGTCCGTCCCTTAATTTGGTGAAAATTGAGAGGTTAAAATCGTCTATTCACATTTTAAATGTTTACATTTTATTTTATTTTTGATAATTTGGTCAAAGGGCTTTTGAACCATACAATTTTAGGCGCCGCCGTCTTAGCTAATTCTCCATAAAATTTGTCCATAGCACTGCAAATCTGAAAGATGCGGGACCTAGATGCTAAAGTAAAAGGTTAAAGACCTCTTCTGTACATATTTAATAAGTTGGGGACATCTGCTACAATTAAAGAACGAGCAAAAATCCTTCTGCTAAACCTGCAAAAGGGGGCCGTCGGCTAGAATTTGGACTTGTTTTCCGATGGCATACAAATCGGTGTTCGATTTTTCCGTGGCAAAATCAGAATTCGAAAACGTCGGCATCAAACCTCACTTCATCCCTCTCGTCTGGAAGCACGTTTTACAAAACCCTAATTGCCAGTGGGATGAAATTCCATCTTTGCCTTCCGCGGCTTACTCTTTGCTCAACTCTAAATTCAAATCCTGCACTTCCACTCTCCACTCAGTCATTAATTCGAACGACACAGTCACCACCAAGCTCCTCATCAAATTACAGGTACCCTTTTATTATCTCTTGCATTTGTCTCTATGAATTAAAATGACTGTAATTTTAGAGTTTTTATTATGTGTAATTCGCTGCTGATTTATTTTATCATAACTGAGTTTGGTGAATTGGAACAACGTCCATTCATTTCAATTTTGGTTTATGGTGTCTATTTGGGACTCAACTTCCTCTGTATCCAAATTGAATGTGGTGGACAGACGAGTTAACCTTATTTTGATTAAAAAAAACTTTTACTAGAGTCTGAACATGGTGAAATGCCATTGACAACAGTATTTTATACATGAAAAATACCACTGCATTCAAGACACGTTTTCAATAAATTAAATTAATCGATCTAATTTAATACCTCTGTGAAATGATAGTGTGTTCATTGGGCTTTCATCTGTTTGACAAAGGCCTACAGTTTGTCTCCCTCTAGAGAGGGGAGTGGGTGGTTCTGGACTGCTTAAATTAATGGTAGTTGATGTGTATATTATCATGTGTGTACTATCCTTACTGGCATGCTCTCTTTGTCTTTAATAGAATGGAGAATTCGTGGAGGCTGTCATAATGAGATATGATACACGTCTGGGAAAATATGACGGGAAGCCTCGTCCTGGTGGACCTAGGTCAACCTTGTGCATATCCTCTCAGGTACTTCTTTTGTTTTTCACTTTTTTACCCCTCTCAAAGTTCGCATACGAAGGAGATGCATCTTCTTATGGTACAACCTTTTAGTTACTGTAAGTTCACATTTTTGTGTGGTATTGAAAGTGATTACAAATTTCGTCTTACTTTGCAAAGGTTGGATGCAAAATGGGTTGCAAGTTTTGTGCAACAGGAAGCATGGGATTCAAAAATAATCTTTCATCAGGTGAAATTGTGGAACAACTGGTTTATGCCTCTCGCATATCAGCTATACGAAATGTTGTTTTTATGGTATAGCATTTCTCTTTCAACAATATAACTACCATACAGTACTTCAGATTAGTTAACAAACCATTGTCTGTGGATTGTGAAATAGCATGTTTGATTTCGTAGAGCACCATGAACTCCAAGATTATGATATGTATGGATGTGTGTGTGTGTGTGTGTCTGAACTAGCATGTTTGTACTTCACCAACCTTGTCAAATTCCCAGAGGATGTATTTCTTTTTAAAGGGGAGGCGATGTTTGATGAGGAACTTCCTTAAATTGAACTGATGATTGTCAAAGTGGAATGGAGAGAATATTGCCAAGTCCTATACAAGTATCTGAAATCTCCAGTTTTTCTATTTTTATTTTCAGAGTGGGTATGTTGGTAAGCTTGGACCCATGGGGTTGAGATATCCCATTTTAGGATCTCCAAGTTTATGTTAGGCCCTTGGTCATCTTCAACTCAGTTAAACTACCAGATTTCGACATGTAAAAGAGTTGAGCGCTTATTGGTGACTTTGATTGCTAAGTGAACTAAATAGCATAACATTCCATTTCAATTTTGATTTTGCAATATGTGAATTTGATTTTGTGACAAAAATTTGAAATCCTTTATGAAGAATATAAAAAGCATAATGAGCTGAATAAATGCAACAAGGCACACCACTGGTGTTTGTGGTATTATCAGATAAAGTGAACTGATGTTGAAAGATGATACTAATTGCATTACAACGCATCCATGGAGCTGTTGAGGACAATTATGATGAGGCTATCTCAAAGCTAGTTTGGAAGTTGTTTATAAATACTTTAAATTATAAATAGATAGAATTGAGTGATGAATAAGTGAGTAGTACTTGTGAATCTTACGAAATATGTGGATGAAAAATGGCTTGACAGATTACAGCCAATTTGTATATGGTAGCCAAACACTGGCTCAATCTGGTGGAGGTTGCTATAACTGCAAGATACTATATCTCAACAATATTTTTCCTGATTAAAGAGTTCATCATTTATGTAGCACTTGATCATTTCCAAGATTTTGTGATAAATAAAGATGATGTTTGTTACCTACTAGTAGTCTTTCTCAGTTCAAATGAATCCTTAGAGGAAATATGATGCAGAAAAAGATAGAAGTCCATTGTTTTAGAAAATGTAAATATATCTACTCTTCCTCCACCATTCATTTTTCACTAGACTTGTGACAATAGATACTCGTTAATTTTTATTCATTTGAATTAATGCCTCATATCATGGTGAAAAATATAGATATCTATGTGATTATATGTTTCAAACCTTTTAATTGTCACATTTTCTGTTTTATGCTGCTCCCTGATTCCCAAAAAATATTGGTTTGTTGTCTTTCTGGGATGAAACAAACAATTACCGTGGACAAGATTCTCATCAAATTCTTCATTTTTTTGGGTAAAAAATTGCAAAAAATAATAAAAGGCAGAATATAGTGCTATTGTGAGCCTTTTGCTTTAAAGGAAGTAGAATAATTATTGCCAATGACTTAAAAAATATTCTTAAAAAAATTTGATTAGTTCAGCAAAAACAAAAAAAAGAATAGGCCTTATTATTCCTACATGTTCCCATTCCCTTGAGATGTTACTACGTATTTTGCTTGTGTTTAATCTTTCACGATTCAAAAAAGAAACGTTATCCGGTTCATCCTTTGGAACCCTATCACACCCCGGATCTGATGAAATAGGATGAATTGAGACAAAAATTTTGTAAATACGTAATTATCTTGAATATATTAACCATTTCTTTATTTTCTGATGATTTGATTTGTGAAAGTACAGGCTGGTCTTTTTGGAGTGCTGAAATTTTTTCCATTTCAGTCTTTTTGGGTGTTGATTTTTCTTTTCCTTTTTTTTAGGGATTTATTAGCTGAAGTGCTTTCTCTTTATCTCAATGATTATTTGTTGTTGGTAGGGCATGGGAGAGCCATTGAACAACTATGCCTCAGTGGTGGAAGCTATTAGAGTCATGACAGCATCTCCTTTCCAGCTTTCACCCAAGAAAATTACTGTCTCAACGGTGCAGACTTCTTAGTTGCTTGCTAATTTCAATATTCAAATTTATCACACGTTTTCAAGAAATTGAATATTTTTAACATTAGCAGATGAAAGTTTTTCCAAATCTTCTTCCATACTGTACAAGTAAAAGCTTCCATTCATGTTCAGGATCATGCAATTTTTTTTTTTAATTTTAGTTTTCAGCATTATGCCATTCACGAATTATTTTACATAATTAAAAATATTGTGTATAAATTCGTTCAGGTTGGCATTATCCATGCTATCAACAAGCTTCAGACTGATGTACCAAACTTGAACCTAGCCGTTTCACTGCATGCACCAGTACAAGATATTCGATGCCAGATAATGCCTGCAGCACGGGCTTTTCCTTTGGAAAGACTAATGAATTCATTACGAGAATATCAAAATAACAGGTTTTTAGTTTGTCACTATTTCTTTTTATTGTTGAAAATAAGGTTTTTAGTATGTCGCTGTTACTTTTTATTGTTGAAAATAAGCATAAATCAGGGGTTTCCCGAATAGGGCCATATGTTACACACGTAACATTCATTCTTCTGTATATTGGACTTTGCAATTGTTTCTGCTTTATTTATGTACGTCTCTTTTGATCTTTGCTTTTTCATAGTCACAGTAGGTTGTCAGAATATCTCATTTGGTCTTCTTTGTAGTCGGCAGAAAATCTTTATCGAGTACATAATGCTTGACGGGGTGAATGATGAAGAACAACATGCTCACCAGCTTGGCAAATTGCTGGAGACGTTACAAGTGGTGAGTTTTATATTGAAGAACAACTATCTTCATTTGCTAGTTTTAAATAGCCAATTCATTCCAACCTTAATCTCCATTTCTGCCATTTGTTGCAGGTTATAAACTTGATTCCATTTAATCCAATTGGTACTCTGAGTCATTTCTCAACTAGCAATGATCAGAAAGTCACCAGCTTCCAGAAAATACTTAGAGGTACATATAACATCCGAACAACTGTACGTAGGCAAATGGGCCAAGATATAAGTGGTGCATGTGGTCAGCTAGTGGTTAGCCTGCCGGATAAAAGGTCCACTGGAAGTGCAGGTCCCTTAACTGACATTGAAGATCTTCGTATTTAACTCAGGGAACTATTCAGGTCAGACTAGATGTCTATGGCATTTGATCATCTTTTATCTTTATTTCCCCTTTCAAATTACCATTTGATCTGAGGTGAGAAAATTTTCCTTTGGAGCACAGTGTATATTTTGGCAAGGTTTCTTATTTTCTCCATGCGTCAAAGGCAACTAGCTGAAAAAGAAATTTTATGCTGAGCTTACTGTCAGAACTAGTATGGCTGGCAGAAGAGCTTCAGGATTTGCGCCAACGGCGGACAATTTGAAAAGCATTGTATTGACATCAATATCAGTTTCCCCGTCCGTCCTTTTTGGGTTAACATTTTGATCTGCTCCAATCCTCTGCCTTGCATGCACTTGGTGCTGCTTTTTGGTCCATGCCAAGAATTTTTGACTTCTCAACTCTTCTGTAAATTATCTAGTGGGTACATTGCAATTGAGACATTATTGGAGGAATATCCAAACTGTTGTTGGTATCCATTTTGATAGGGCGTTTTCAATTATAATGAGTTGACTGATGGATTTACTTATAAGTAGATAAGTAAGTTTATTGATCAAAAGAATTACTTCAAGTAGCCTTAATCGACTTCATGTCAAACTCCAGTGCCACAAACCGGGAAACAAATGAACAAGCTGAACTACACATGAGATGCATCTGCATGCAAACCAATAGGCGCATGACTTTGTTTCGAAGACGAGCTACCAAGCTTCCACATAAAGCACAAGCCAAGGCCAGAATATGTAAATTTGGTATCAATATTCTTCATGGTTCAATTTCAATAAGGCTATGTTCGATATGCCACATTTTCCTTGGAAGTTAGAAAATAAATTCCTTTTCCTTGCATTCGAGTTGTTTGATTAGCCACATTTTTCCACCCATTTGTTTTCCTTGTAGCTGCCTCCCGCGCTGGAATTTGTTGAATTGTGGGAATTCGTTTTCCCACTTCCATGTGGCTGCCATGTCCCTTATTTTTTAGCAATGGAAACAAATTTCATAATCAAGTGTAAAAAAAATTCACTTTCATTGATAATTTTGATGCAAACGAAGGCCAAACGAACACTAAATTTTGATAAAAAAATGATTTTTTAGGAAATATATATATATATATATTTTTTTACTTTTTGACAATTGAAACAAATTTTATAACCAAGTATGGAAAAAATTATCATTTTAATGGACAATTTTGATACAAACGTTTTCCTTGTAGCTGCCTCCCGCGCTAGAATTCGTTGAATTGTGGGAATTCATTTTCCCACTTCCATGTGGCTGCCGTGTCCCTTATTTTTTAGCAATGGAAACAAATTTCATAATCAAGTGTAAAAAAAATTCACTTTCATTGATAATTTTGATGCAAACGAAGGCCAAATGAACACTAAATTTTGATAAAAAAATGATTTTTTAGGAAATATATATATATATTTTTTACTTTTTGGCAATTGAAACAAATTTTATAACCAAGTATGGAAAAAATTATCATTTTAATGGACAATTTTGATACAAACGAAGGCCAAACGAACACAAAATTTATAAATTTTCCTACTGGAAAATTTTACTAATCAAACACACTTAATTAACAATTCTCTGGAAAACAATTTCTAGGAAATTACTTTCCCTATAATTCATTTTCTTTCCACTCATTTTCCACCACTGCAATCAAACGGACCCTAACATAATATGTTAATGCTCAAAATGTACGTCATGGTCTGGAAGCACAATTTCATAAAATTGTATGCTTGTCTCGCTAGCGGTAGCCAAGTTAAATCATACGAAAACACAAAAATGATTCTCACAACTACACAAGTCGCCAAAATGCAAATTAGGAATGAGACACAGAATTACCTCGGCAACCATAATTTCAACAGATTAATCACGAAGCTAAGAGTTCTTCAATTTTAGCAATCCTCATTCTTTGGGGTTGGACTCCTACTGGCTTCATTGTAAAGATCATGCTTCCATTTCTCAACATAGCCTCCAGTTGGAGGATAACCCTGCCTTGGAATGACCCTATTTGTTCTACCGTACTTATCACTAGCTCCATACTTTTCTCTTAAGGAAACGTTACCTCTCAATGCTTTCCCCCTATTACCCTCCCTCTTCTCTACAAATGCTTTTTCACGTGTTCCAAAATGACGAAAGGTAAGGCCTCTCTCTTCTCTTTTTTCACTTTCCATGGCATGATCTTCAGGGTTCAGAATCACAGGGTTGGCTGCTGCTTTGCGAGTTTTCTTGGGATCTGCAAGAAACTTTTGCTTGCTAACGGCAGGACTTTTAAGTGCAGGTACTTTTGGGTCTGCCTCAATTTTGTAGTACCCATCATGCTGCCCGGTGTGGCTACATTTCCTGTTATCTTTAGTATTCAGGTCCTTTAGCTGTGCATCACTCTCCCCTTTTTTATTTTTGATCCTGTCATTTAGCTGCTCCTTTGCATCTCCCCACCATCCACGCTCTTTGCAAAAGTATAAATTTAATGGTTATGATATGAGAAAATAGCACCTTATTAATATTAGTTTTCTGGCAGCAATTGACAGGTCTAATTGTAGAATCAGAGATGTCATAGTGCTAAATATAAGGCACTGTTAAGACAAGCTAAAGAAAGTGATGATTGAGTTCAATAATCTGGCTAAACAAATTTTCAGCATGCCAATGGTTGCCAACTCTCAAGCAAAACATCAAAATTTACTTCCCTAGGAAGTACAACTTCAATTGAAGTGAGGATTAAAAACTTACCAGCAGATGCCCTCCGACCGAAGCTTCGCTCAACTTGCCCGGCATTACCACGGCCAACATGCTGTTATAAGACATTCCTAATATTGTTATATACAAGGAGGTATTTAAAGCCACCAGGCTGTACAAAAAATCCCAATACACCAGCCTGGCTAACTAGGTTGTAAATTGGGCACTGTGTTTGTCTTAATACCGAGAGATGCGTGGATGATATTAATGCATTACCTTATAAACTCTAATGTACATAGATGCTTTAGACGAGAGCAAGAATAAAAGGTATATAAATTAAATGGTTAGATTACATATGACAGCTTTAACAAGGCAAGAATAGCCATCTATCTTATTGACTACTAATTAATGAAAGCATGGAATATTTTCTTTGGTGACAAACCCCTTTTTGGCGAAGACTATAACAAAGCTAAGTATCTCCCATTAAATTCAGAGTAGGGTTCATAAAATCATTCTGCTCCCATTTGCTATATTCATTACTTCATATAGTTGGAGATCTAAGAATATCGTCAAGAGACTCTTTAAAAGTGAAATACTCCATATTTTAAAGAGTTGATCCTTAAAATTATGCTCCAAAAGACTCTTGAAATTAACATTTTAAAATATAGAATGAGTTTGGCTCTCCAAAAATTATGCTCTAAGAGAATCTTGAAATTAACATTTTAAAATAGAGAGTGAAATCTACTCTCTATAATTAAATGTATTCCAAATATTTCACCTTTTCAATGCTCCATGTATTAACCCAACTAAATAGAATATTCAAAGAAAACGTAGGAAAATAATATAATAATTTGAAGAGAAGTTGGTGAAAATAAAAGATAGGGAAAATGATAAATACATATTGGGAGTAGTAAAATTTAAGTAAAAATAAAGAGGCTATTTGAGTATTTAAAAATAATTACTCTATAAATTTATAGACGCTCTCTAAATTATAAATTATGCACTTAAAAAATAGAGAATCTGTTAAAGATGCTCTAAAGCAAATATATCAAGCCATGTTAATTTTAAGGGTAATGCTACATGTACACACAACACTTTCACACAATCTTTTACACCTCTCTCACATGGAGGGGGGTCCACGATTATTTTATTATGTGTGGGTCCCCCTCCATGTGAGGTAGGTGTAAAACATTGTGTAAAAGATTGTGTACACTTAGCATTATTCTAATTTTAATATCTTCTATTTGGGGGTTGGTCACACCAAAGGTCCCCCACTCCCTCTAGATGTGCAACAAAAATATTTTGGGACGATCACAAATCCTATTACAGTGAGATGGGGCCACATGGTCTCCAAAGAGAATAATCAAAATTTTCACTGCTCGTTGACTCGGATGTCATGCTAAGATTTCTCAAAAAATCACCAGACGCCAGATAATGAAGCTACTGGTCAGTGGTCACTCTGGCAACCAAATCTTGATTATGACAAAGAAATAGAGCAACGATTAAATAGCAAAGTGATCAATGACACGAGAAAAACTTCTCAAAAGACCTGGCATCCAAAAGATGACAAAGAAATAAGACACCAATTCCTATAAAGCACAATCAGACGATGAGTTAGTAACTAAAAAGATTCCTATCTAGCTAGAAGAATTTCAGTTCTTCGATATATCACCTGAAAATAAGATTGAGAGTGAGGTAATTTAGTTTGGTTTGAAGAATGTTTGGTGCCTTCACAGTGTCCACCAGTTTTTTTTTTGGATTGTTTACTCACAGCTCCGGTTTCTACCTTAGAATCCCCCTTACCCAACGAAACTTCAAGAGGTGATGCATTCTTCAGCCAAAGGCAGTCCTTCCGATCCCTGTCCAAATAGTCTTTACCCATAACAGAACCACTTGGCTGTCTTACAGTTTCTGGTTTAACATCGCAACCAGATCTCTTAGGTCTAGCAGAAAACAACAGAAGATCGAGTCTTGCTGTTAGATGCAAATTCAACTACTAGGAGTCAAGCACAAGAACTACAATATTTAGAAGAAAAATTCATCCATGCGTGACAACACATATCAAAGAGTACAAGGCATTGCCGCATTAGTGACACTGAAAAGAAGTTAATATTAATTATTACAAAATAAATCCCAAGGTTTTCGTAAGAGCTGTATGAGGCAGAAACCCATCCCACATATGTGCCAGCAAAAGAAAGAAATTGTTGACGCTTATGCTGTGAAATTAGGTATAACAAGTGCAACTCTGTTTATCTACATTCCGAGCGAAACATCTCTAGGTCTACGAATAACTGAAAGTTCCGTGTCTATCCACACTTGGCATTTCTTGATTAATTCATTTTCTTTTGGTAAATTGTTTACCAATTTCATCCATCCAGAATAAGACTCAAGTAGCAACAATCGTAGTAGATACCTGCAGGAATTCCATATTCTTATACTTACGAAACTCTAATACAAATCAAAATTCGGAAATTTCAAGCCATTTGATATGCAATTAACTTCAAATCAAAAAAATACAGCAGTTTACAATTACCGGAAAATAGAAAATTATAAAATCTTGAAAATACGAACAAAATTTATATTATTCACCTGGGATCGCGATCGAACCTAGAATATTGGCGTTTTGAGTGTGAGTAACGATCTTCTCTACTAGACATTAGGGTTAGTTGATAGCACAAATATGTGAAGACACTGCAGTCTATTTCTTTGCAAACATAAACTATAAGCAATTATTTTAGCCATTAGCTTCTTTTTTTAAATGAATTTTGTAACAGTGAATTTTTGAGCTTTTTTAAAAATTTATTTTTAGTTATATATTCTTTCGATGATATAATTTTGTATGTCAATTTAAAATTTGCTTTTGCTTTTTAATTAAGTATTTCTCAAAATATAACTTTTTATAAATCCATTATAAAAAATGGGACTCAAATATTCATTAATTCTAAATGAATTAATGTTCATGCTAGTGTATGTATTTGATCATTATGATCAATATTCAATGTAAACGAATCAATTTATCATGATTTACGAATTGACGTCCAGATTGATGACATGAAAGAAAGAGAGAGAGAAAAAATGAAGAAGGAAAAAGAAAAAAAGCCCTTTAATATAATCCAAATCGTGATTCTGGACATCAATTTGTAAATTACGATGTACAAATAACATTATTCTATCAATAATAATTTTCTCAGCTATTTTAAACCTTAATTTTTTCCTCGTCATACAAAAACCAAAAGTTCCCATTAATATTGAAGCATAAAATCAATATCTATATAATGTCATTTCTAAACTTTTGATAACATTCAATTAAGTCATTATTTGAGTGATCCAACTCATGAATTTAAGAGCGGCATTATTGTTTCTAAAAACTTGTAATTATGTATAAATTCTAGTAAGGACTACTTTTAAAAAAAAAAAAAAAATCACCCAACTAGGGTTATCCATCAATAATATAGTCAAATAGAATACTGAACTTTGGAAATGGAAGGTAAAATTTAGCAAGTTCAATAAAACTTTAGATATTCAGTTATCGAAGTGATTTTGTTGTTGGGTTAAATACTCGTTCGATTGCAAAATTTTCAAGGCGTGAGTTTAGTCACCGAACTTTTGTTTAGCATAGGTGTCACCAACTTTATATGTTAATTTCAATTAAGTCCGTGTCGACATATTCATTAGTCTATTTTATTGAATTTGGTGATGTGTACAATGACGAAAATTTATGTGGCAAGTGGATTTTTTTTTTTTAATATTGAAATGATACATAGAAAAAAATATATCTTAAAAATCTAAATGGGCTTGGGCTGCGCCTAAGTATGTATAAATGAAATAGTGTGTTACGGTTCAAAATTAAGGCTCAAGAAGAAGTTCAAACAAAATGCCTACACTCTACACCATCAAAAATTGAACTGAAGTCATAGGTAAAGATGATGTATCGATGCTTCACCCAAAGCGTCATGTGTTAGCAGAAGCTCCATGGCCGAAGCAAGGCGTCACCTATTGTAAAACAATAATAGAGAGATGATCCACCACTTCATCTGAAGCACTATATAAGTGCTTGAAAGCTTGAAATCGAAGCACTATGTAAGTGATTGAAGCCCACATTACTGAAACGGAATCCCCATAACCATAAAGGAGCATATTTCATATTCACTTCTCCTAAGAGATCTTCTATATAAAGATTTTATGTGAATGATTGATGTGACCCATGTTGTAGCAGAAGAATGTCAAGACTTATCAACCTACTACATAGGTATCAGACCTAGGCCCTAGAGTGGCTACCTTTTCAGAGTGCATTAAATAATGCATGGCCTAGTATGTGTGATATGATACCTATGATGGGATGCTTCGAATAAGCAGATGAATCCACATGCCTCTTCATTCAATGATTACCACTTCATCCGTACAACTATAAAAGATCACAACTCATGCCATTTGAAGGCTAATGCAACTCAAAACACTACAAGCTTTGTAAGGTTATTCTTTTCTGTTTTTACATACTCTCATACACACGCCCAATGCCCAAACACCTAAGTGGCTCGTGTATAAAGCACCTCCCACACACAAATATAAATACCTCATTGACTGACTTGACGTTGAAGTGTACGCGACCACCTTCCCTACCAACGAAGAAGGCCACATGTGACTAACAGTTTGTCCAAGTGTGCAGGAGCAAACTTATGTTGATGTAAGTAGATTTGAGATCCCGTTGGCGCATTTTTTGAGGTCAACAGATTGGCGTCGTTTGTGAAAAATGTCACTATAACCACAAACATCCTTGTTCAGAAACCTTACCAGAATAATTATTTGGCTTCCCCATTGAAAAATGATTTGTACTTGAAGAAAGTAAAAGTGGAAGCCCCAAGAAAGAGATTAGGAGTTTGTATCAGTACTTGAATTGTTGATATTCCTTGGAAAAAGGAATACGTTGAGATAGAAATCCATTTGTAAGACCCTAACCTCTTTGAAGAAAAGAGTTGTATGGACAAAATGAGTTCAACCAGTGAAGAAACCTCATTAATAGGGTTAGGGAAGCCCCTGAAGAAGGGGTCCCTAGGAGAACTTCGTCAGTGGGTCATCGATGACCTTACCACCAGCATAGACAAGGTAGAATGAGAGTTACTGTCTAACTTACTCGAGAAATGGCTAAATGGCTACCAACGTGAGGAGCATCATCTAGAAAAATGCCCATGTACAATAGCTCCAAATGTAAGAGAATAGGAAGAAGAAGTCTCTAAAGAAAAGACCATGAATAAGAAGACCTCCAGAAAAGGGAGGACCCTAAAGAAGTGGCCTTCAATAAGTAGACCCTTAAAAAGTGGGAGACCTCTGAAGAAGAGGTCATGAATAAGAAGACCCCTTGAATAAGGGGAGGTCTCTAAAGAAGTAGCCTTCAATAAGTAGACCCCCTGAAAATGGGAAGACCTCTGAAGAAAAGGTCATGAATAAGAAGACCCCTGAATAAGGGGAAGCCTCTGAATAAGAGTCCATGAATAAGAAGACCCCCTGAAAATGGGTAGGCCTCTGAAGAAAAGGCCATGAATAAAAGGACTCCCTGAAAAAGGGTAGGCATCTGAAGAAGAGGTCATGAATAAAAAGACCCCCTAAAAAGTGGGAGACCTCTAAAGAAGAGGCCATGAATAAGAAAGTTCCTTGAAAGGGGAAGGTTACTGAAAAAATGACCTTAAATAAGAAGACCCCTTAAAAAGGAGGTCTTTGATGAAGAGACTATTGGAAAACCATTTTACGAACGGGAGGCCTTTGAAGAAGAGGCTATAAAGGGAGCAACACTGAAAAAGGGCACATTTATCAAGTGATAACAAAATTTTACAAATTGAAGGGGAACAACAGAGAAGAAGAGAAAATGACTAAAAGTGTACAAAATGTGAACTTGGGGATTGAAGTGTAGATGTTTGGAAAGTTGACGGACTTTGAATGCAATTTATCAAAGGTATGATTGAAATAAAAGTCAAAATATGAGGATCAAAATGTATAAGGTCAAAAGTCACGGGACCCATGCATGAAATTAATGAAGGACTAGAAAGCAATTTTCATATTTTGCCTATTTACAAGCATAGCCTTCTACATATTCACCACGTAAGGCCTCTTTCACCTATACATCAACCCTCTCAAATGAACCATCCACGATGGAGGGAGCCCTTGACTGGATAAGTCACCCCATGCAAAGAATCAATCCACTTCGAAAGAAGAGGTGAGAAGCACCCCCAATGGCGGCTCGCCTCAGATACCTATAAAGACGAAGCCCCTACGGATGAACCATCCATCATGGAGAAACCCTTCTATGGATAAACCATCCACTATATATGGAAGCATGAGCACTTTGGAGAAGAGGTGGATCCCAAAAGGGACCACTTCCAAATTCTCTAAGCTTGGCAGCATAAACCTCTCATGGATGAAGCTGATCATCATGGAAGAAATCTCTGTATGGATAAACCATCCACCATCTAAGCATGAGTGCCTCGAAGAAGAGGTGGATCCCAAAAAGGGATCACTTCCAAATTCTCTAGGATTGATATCATAAGCCTCCCATGTACGAAGCCGATCATCATGTGAGAAGCATTTGCATCGATAAACCATCTACCATGCAGGAAAGAATGAGCACTTCGGAGAAGAGGTGGATCCTAAAAAGGGATCACCTCCAAATTCTCCAAGGTTGATAACTGATAAGTGTAGTTTTTACACTTATTCGAGACCCTAAATCATGATATTTTATTATCTTTTCGATAAAATTCCACCTAATTTATGTTTATTGTATTTTATAGGTAAAACTTTATATTTAATGAAGAATTGGATAAAAGAATGCAAAAGTGGTGAAAAATGACAAAATTCAAAGATTTTCCATTGAAGATAAATATTACATTCAATGTGTTCGAGTTAAATTGGTCTAATAGACTTGCATTGAAAATTTTAATTGAAAACCCAAATTACACACACACACACACACACACACACACACACACACATATATATATATATATATAGATATATGATAGAAAAAAACAGAGAGAGAACGCGCAAACGAGAAGCAGAAAACAGAGAAGAAAATTGCGGTAGGAAAGAAGAGAAAATGAGAAAGAAAAAAGAAAAAAGAAAAGAAAGGGAAAGAAAATGTAAAAAAAGGCTGACACAGAAAGGAAAGATAAAGAAAAAAGAGAAGAAAAAGAAAGGAGACGGCATATACGAACAGTTTCATGTTTCCTCAATTTTTGGTGATGTCGTTCCACTTTTGTGCGTTTTATTTTTACAGATGAATAAATAATTTTTATATTAGGGAAAACAATGTAGTCAACTTGTGATCTTTTATTTTTCTATTCAAAATCTTTGTGATTTATTTATTCATGTGTTGGTTTTATTATGAGCTTAATGTATTAAATTATCTGATCAATAATTTGATGATTACATAGTGTCTTACAAATTGAGAGATGAATTTGAGATTTAGATCATATAGTAAAATTCGGTAAATTAGTATAATGTGTAGAGATACATATACTAATTATTGTAGTCATAATATGAATTCTTAGTACTAGTATTTCGTTTAACTAAGATTAATTCACATAAAGATATGAAATTTAATTAGTTAAATAGGTTCAATGAGAACTCGAGAAGGGTAAATTGAATACAATAGAAGAATTCGATCGAC